CTCCCCTCCCCCCTCCCCGTCTCTCCCCCTTCTTCCCCCCTCACCTTGGGTTGTTTCCTCCTGCGCCCTTTACTGAACAGAGGGCCAGGGACACAGCTGGCAGCAGCGGGGGCACCTCCAGGGCATTGGTTACTGATGTTCCCCTTCAGCAGTTCGAACTGGCAGAGGGAGAAGTGGGTCTCAGTGCCCGCACACACCACTGAGTGCACTCGGTACCGTGGCACCTGGCGTTCAGACACCATCCTGAGAGAGAGAGAGAGAGGGAGATAGATGGGGGTTAATCAGCCCCTGGGCACTATGATGGCTTCATTTGTGGAATGTGGGTATCACTGGCTGGGCCTGTATTGGTTACAAATCCCTGAAGACCCAGGGGGTGGTTAGAGAGACCAACCACGTTGCTGTGGGTCTGGAGTCCAAAGTAGACCAGACCAAGTCAGGGCAGCAGATTTCCCTCACAAAAGGATGTTAATGAACCCAGTGGGTTTTTACAGCTTTATGGTCACTGTTAGGCCAGCTTTCTTCACACTCCATAACTTACAATTAATTCCTATTCCACCAGCTGTCACGGTGACATTCCAACCCTCATGCCCAGGACAACAGGCCAGGGTTTGGCACAGCTAGCCCAGTATCATTACAATGATAACACCACCTCACACACTGTGTTAGTATGGAGTGAAAGCTGCCACTGTCTGCAGGGCAGAGTCAGGGTCAATTGGCATCACACAGAACTAGCTGTGAACTCATCGACACACTAATGCCGGAGCTGCAGGGTCTATCCAAACAGAAACACCATCTGCACGCACACTGCCAGACCTGCTGAGTTTCTCCAGCACTTTTCATTTCAGATTTTCCTTTTACCACACTACCATGCTTTTACTGAATTAGAACGAGCTCAGTGCTCTTGCAACTGATAAACATGGAATAGAGTATAAACTTATAAACTGAAAGCAAACATTTCTCTACACTGTCCCCATCAAACACTCCCAGGACAGGGACAGCAGGGGGTTAGATACAGAGTAAAGCTCTCTCTACACTGTCCCCATCAAACACTCCCAGGA